ACAGACTGATCAGTAATTGTATGAGATACTACTTTTTCACCTGAGATAATAAAAAACTACAACCAATTAACATAAATTGGCATAATTAAAATAATTTTTTTTTTAATTTTTATATCTACTTTTGTTCATTTTTTCATCTTTTTAAAAACCTTTTCCTTATTATTATTCTCAATTTTTTTTTTATATTCCCAGATTTATTCTCTAGGGTCAATTTATGTCAAATCAACATGAAAAAAAACAACTAGATGTCACCCTTTGTCATTGATTTTGCCAGTTTTAACATATGTATTATGAACATTTGAAAAACCTGAATATTTGAGTATACTTACAGTTTTTGATTTATGCCAACTCTGCGTAGTTTTTTTTTTTAGATTTATGTTAACTCTGCATTTTTTTAACATCATTTTAACAATAAATAGTAATGTTTTTTTAATAGAATGATGTATTAACTTTAAATAAGAAAATTAAATTTAAAAAATTTATAAATTAAGGTATTTATTTTTTGTGTGGTTTATATTTTTAAAAAAGTTATTATCAGATCCTATAAATATATAGGATCTGATTGTTATTTACATTATTATTATATTAGACATAGACATTCAGCATGTGCTCTGGGAAAAAAAATAGCATTAATATTTTCAACATTTTTTTAAGGTTATATATAGCAGACTTAAAAAGTTTTCCAAATCAGGAATTAAAGAAATCTAGATCATGTTATTGTAGAAATTGACTATGTAAAAACCCAAATCAAAAGAACTCAATATGAAATATATATTGGTAGCAATTTTTTTCATCATTTCTGTAGATTTATGTCATCTTTTAGATGAAAAAAAAGATACCAGCTATTTTTTCATCATCTCTGATTTCAAGTTTCTTTATTTCAAATATATATAATATAATATAAAATATAGCCTGAAAGTATGCACATCAAAAAAATTATGGTAAATTATATAAATTATGCAAGCACGTCACCAAAATAATATGCCTATATATTTACTACCAAGGGATCCAAGAATCTTGTCAAGAATAAAATGATGAAACAGTTAGATCAGTAGTTGAAGAAGTCAGCCAAGATTTTGTGATCCAAAATATATCCATTTTCAAAAAATTAATTTACTTACAATGTCGTCAAAATGCAGTTACAAAATTAAAACATAAAGGTTTCATGATTGTCTGATACAGGAAATGGAAAAAGATGACAAGTTCTAGTGATTTAAAAAGGGAAATTGATGATCCTATAAATTATAGAGAGCATATTAAAGTAAGTTGCTTTAATGTTTAGAAAGGTGCTGAGTATGAGGGAGGTCAAAATAATCAAGTGAATGAAAAGGTGAAGTAATATTGTACATTGTTATATTGTAATTGTTGAATTAAATTAAGGGAAAGATAAACATATTATATATTGCTTTATTACTAAATTCCTACAAATCATGGTCAATTTGTTTCTCTGTTAGTCAAGGATCGTGTTTAGGTGTGCAAGAGTTAAGAGAAGGTTATGACAAGGTATTTAAAAAAATGAGTAGCTTCATCTACTGCAGGGCTTCTTTAGCTTTGGAGTGTCGAATGTATTAAAAAAAAAGGTCAGTATCAGTTAGTTTTTTTATAATCTGTATATATTTTTAAGCTCAATTTTAGTATTTCATATTTTTGTTTCTTAGACAACTTTTTTTACAAAATACATGAATATGAAAAATTATAATTGTATTAAAAAATAAATATTACACAATATTCAATGTATAACTTTAATTTAATACAAATATTAAAATTTTTATTTGATAGGATATTAGTAAAGTTACATAAATTATAGATCTTACCAATATGTAGTGAGAACTAAGTAAGTTAAAAATGGAAACCAAACTGTTAGATAAGGGATCGTCCATAAACTATGCAACACTTCATTTTGTTAACAAGCAACAAAAGTTTTTCCTTGCAGAGCCTTAAATTAAGTAGCTTGATTTAAATAGATATTTTACATAAAAGTTTTTGGGGCCAAAGAATTTAAATATAGAACTGAATTTTTTTTTTTTTTCTTTTGCAGACAATAAATACTAGTACAACAAGCATTTAAACATGTTTTAATTTTTATTACTTAAACAACTATAACCATTATTTATATTGAAAAATGGAGGTTTTATCAACTCAAATATATTATGAATAAATCAACCTAGATGTGATTATGTAATTTTGTGCATTAAACATGCATGTATAAAACTTTTTTAAAACGACAAAAAATAAAAAAATAATTAAATGTTTTTTTACATTTTAAGATATTGTTTAACCCATGTCCTTTATCTCCACCATTATTTAACCCATGTCCTAAATCTAACTTTTACAATTAATAGATTAATAGCGAATTAAAATGCATAGTGCTTGAGAACCTAATAGAAAACCTACTTCATGGGGTGCAATATTTATGTTTTAAAAGTTCAATCTTGGGCCTTAAACTTATTTGATTAATACAAATAACCAAAGTGCAAGAAATGAATATACTGAAAATTATTACTTTTTTATTTTGTTTTTAAATCACCTAACCAAAGCCTTAAGACACCTACCCAATGCAACTCTACTATTATTAAAAAGCTGCTCTTTTTATAAATGTTGCTATATCTTTCTTTCAAACATTCAACTCCAAACAAAGTTACAGAGAAACAAGTTGAAATTCTAGTGTAAATTTCTAGATTAGGTTTACCCTATCATTGCACTTTTTATTACTACCTTAAAGCGGTTTCTAAAATGATTTTGTTTGTAATAGTCCTTGGACTGATGTCTTTTATAACTATGTTAAAATTACGGCTTTGAGGTAATCTCCTGGATTAGACACAAAGACACAAAAAGTCACAGTTTTATAAAAGTGTTTTACAGAATTCTTTTTGCTTACAAAGGAGAGCCTGCTGCTCTTCTCTCATATATTTAGAACTTTTTTAATTACTGAATCATTGCCTTTTAACTTTTTAATTCAATCTTACTAAAGTTGTATTGTACAACTCTCCTTCATTTCCAGTAAACTCTGATTCAGTAAATACAAGGTATCATTTTTGGTCCTGCATTTCTCAAAAACCTATATTGGTCCAAAATCAAAACCTAATACTTTGTGACTTGTCACTCAGCATTCACTTATTTTAACTGTTCCTTTATGCTCAAAAATTTTTATTTAGTTTTTTCCCTCGAATTTTTGATGTCTCTAAACCGGGAAAAAGCTTTCATCAAAATCGAAAAAAATTATCTTTTTAAAGTTTTAGAAAAACTTAATTTTGGAAGCAATTTTGATAATGCAATTAAACAAACTTTAAAAAATAACCAATCAATTATAACAAACAACGGGTACCTGGCTAAACCTATAAAATAAAAAGAGTAGTTAGATAGGGAGATTTGATCTCTTTGATGTTGTACTGAATGGCAGTGGAAACGCTTGCCCTAAAATTCAAAAGCAATTAAAAAATTGAAAGGATCGAACTTTCTGGAAAAAACTATTTTTTTGTTCTTTACCTATTTTCTTTACTCTTAAATAAAAATAACTCCAAAATTAAATAGTATAAATTAAAAATTTGTAACTATATTATCTCTTATTACTTGAAACCTTGTTAAAAACATTTGTTTGAAAAAATCTATTTGAAAAAAAAATATTTTTGTGTAACAGAGTACAAGATTTCAAATTAGTCAGTTATAAGTTGTGTGCTGCAAGGTTCTGTTTGCGTTCATTTTTGTTTACTGTTAATGTAAACATATAGCCAAAAAAAATTTATTTAAGTGTTAAACAATGATGACAAGTGTTAAACACTGATGACATAGTGTAAGATCTTTTGATTTAGAAAAAATAAATTAATAATTGGATTAGTCAAAATTATGGCTAGTAAAAATGAATCTAGAAAAATGAAAATACATGAATTTTAGAAAAATGAAAATTTAGGACGCAAAAATATCAAGTATTTTTAAGTATTTATATGATCAAGTGGTACATAAAATTAATAATTAATCTAATGACTCATTTTCCTTAATAAGATTAACTTTAATGATATAAATCAAGGAGCTGTAGAATTAAAAATACTTAAAGATTTTGAATTTGGATTTATTTTTAACATAAATCTGCTGTTAAAGCTTAGCAAAGCTAGACTCAGTTCTTTTTTCCTTGAGTTTAAAAACCTATTCTCTATTCAGGGGGTGAGATTACGCTGGCTATACAGGGGCAAAAAAAATTTTCAGAAACTTTTTTTCATTATATATAAACAAATTAAACCAGCTTGTCAGAATTATCTGAGTGTTATGCATCCTATACTTTTACAGAAACAAAACATATTGCAACAAGTTTGTGCAACTTAAAGAAGTTCTGTTACAATAAGTGTCAATCAATACACTATTTTAGAATAACTAAAAGAAAAAAAGTGTGCAAGAAATAGTTTTAAAAGTGGGATTTTATATCTAAAGGGGGTTTTAAGGCACTCTAATTTACATATAAAGAGAGAAAGATGATATCTTTAAACTATTGAGTGATTTGTTATTATTTTTCTTGCTTGTAATCCATTATGATTATGCTGGCTTTTTAGGGGACAGAAATAAAACCTTAGTTGCCCCTTTATTTAAACATACAAACCAAAGAAAAAATCACAAAATGGAAATAGATATATGTCCTTTTGCCATAACATTATATAATAAATCTTTATTTTTTTAAATCTCACTAAAACTTTTATCTCATATTTCTTCTACATAAAATTCATTACTGATGTAATGTTATTATGTTATGTTCATTGACACTTCTTACTGCTACCTTTAGGCTCACTGTGATTCTTTTATGATGAAAAGAAGTTCTGCTACAACAAATATCATTCCATACACTATTTTAGAATAACTAAATGATAAAAAGTGTGCATGAAACAATTTTAAAAACTCCATTAAACTTTTGTTGCATTTTTTTTTCTTTTTTGTACAAGAGATCAATGAGGTAAAATATAAGATATAGATTAATTCTATGAAAAATTAAAAAATAGAATTATAATAACGATAATACAATAATGATAAATAAAAAAAAATAAAAAAATATTTATATAAACTTAAGAACTTGAACAAAACTTGGTATCACCATAAAGTTTAAAAATAAAGGAACACAATAAAATACCAGTAAAAACAAATGAATAAAATAAAAAATGAATAATAAAAATGTACCTGTCCATAATATGTGTATGTCTTTATGTAAACCATCACCAAGTGTCTTTAAATACTCTGAAGTTTCAATGTTTGGTTTTGCACGGCTGTCACAGTATTCTGTTTTAAATTTAAAAAACACAAATTACTAATAAATAATCTTTATTGACACCATTTTTACTTTTTTTATACCAAATAAAAACTACAGAAGTTACAAAAGCCAATTAGAAACCTAGGTTACAAAAGCCAAGTAAGCTTTTTTTTTATTATTTTTTTTTATAATCCACTCTTAACCTTACGATTTTAAAATTCAAACCTTGAAGAATAAAGGCTTAAAATTCTGTACCTAAGGTTTTCAAAACAAGCAATCAATTATGATTATACCACATTTATATCATCTTTCAATACAAGCTATTATGATAATTTTATTATAATAATTTCAAATATAATAAATAATGAAATTAGTCCTTGCCTCGCTGCTTCCATCTAATGCATGAAAGGATTGAGTATAGAGAATAGGTTTTTAAACTCAAGATAAGATATTAGAACTTTGATAACTAAAGATTAAAAAAAAATTTGCTAATAAGAGTACGAGTACGTTGGACAACAGTTAGAGAGAACTAAAAGAATAAAAACATTGGAAACCAAACTTAACGAGAGTGATTATAAAATAAAAGAATTAAAAAGGAAAGTTGAAAATTTAGATAAAATATTAAATCATAATCGCAGATGTCATTTCTCAGAAGGCAGGAAAACCATAACCACAGATGTCATTTCTCAAAAACAAGTTAAACATTTAAATGGTTTATAGAGTAATGAAAAAAGCTGGAGAACACTTTTGTAAGACTATATTTTTGTAAGACAGGAAAATAGTCTGAACCACAAGATAGAGAAGAGTGAGAAATAACTTCGATAACAACACAGGATTTGGATGTCAAGCAATCGGTTAGCCTTTTTAATAGTCATTATATTCAAGAGATATATTAAAGAAAAAGTGCTTTGCAAATAGTGTTGCATTAACCTTGGTAAAGGTAATAAGATCAGACCCATGAATGAGAGATGGAATGTTAGACCATGTATCAGAAATCAAAATATTAATACTCCAGTTAATGTTTAATGCGCATAGCTACTGTTTAATCAAATTTAAAACTTAAAACTAATTATTTACTTTGCTATTTATGTTTAAACTCACAGGATTATTCATTTTTATATGTGCATCTATTCATTTTTATATGCGTGTTTATTCATTCTTATATGTGTGTTTATTCATTCTTATATGCGTGTTTATTCATTCTTATATGTGCGTTTATATGTGCGTCAAACTAAGTCAACCACCCATAAAATCTCTAATATAATTTAATATAAACAATAAATAGGCTTTTAAATTTTTACATAGATATATTAATAATTATGAATAATTAAATTTAAATCTAGATAAATGAATAATTAGATAAATAATAATTTAATCAATCAAGAAGTTTAATATTAAAATTAAACAAAGACCTAATACTAAATTAAATAAACCATCATCGAATGTAAAAAGTTTTCGTCTTAAGTATTTTTAACCTCGTTTACCAGGAAACAAGAAAAATTTGTTTTGAAAAAATAAACTGTTTTTTCAAAAATGATTTTTTTTGTTCAAATTGCTTTTTTAAAACGCATGTAAAAATGAATAAACACACATATAAGAATGAATAAACATGCATATAAGAATGAATAAACACGCATATAAGAATGAATAAATGCGCATATTAGAATAAATAAACACGCAAATAAAAATGAATAGATGTGCATATAAGAATGAATAACCCTGTAATTATATTTTTTGTAACCAAATAAAAGTTCTATTTTTAAATTTAATTTAATTTTTTTTTAGATAAATTTTTTGTAAGTTATTAATTTATTGCGCTTAGTTACTGTTTAATGCGCTTAGTTACAATAGTTAATTATTCTCCCATGTAACTTCTTCACAATTAACTTTAATTTGTTACAATTAAATTTTTTGGTTCATCAGGTTTATTAATTAGGGAAATAATAAACTTATTTCCCTAATTAATAAACTAATTAATTGTAACTCATGTTCAGGTTATTGAACTTCAAAAGCGTGATTTACCAAATGCTCATCATCAAAAACACCATCATTTTGTAAATGATGGTGTTTTTGGTGGTAAATGGGTCTTTATTCCTTGAATTCAGTTGGCTCCATTAGATTCTAATTTACCTTTTGTTCTAAAACATTGTCTGTTTCCAGTCAGATTGGCTTATTAAAAGACAATTAATAAAAGTCAAAGTAAAACATATTTATAGAGTTGGAGTTTATCTAAAAAAGCTGTGTTTATCTATTATATTCAAGGTATGGTAGGTGAAAAATGTTACACAAATGTTATATTCTCTAATGTTCTTTTATTTATAGTCTTTAGATTTTTCATTTCGAAAATTTCATAGTTTGCAATCACTAAATGTATGTTATGACTTTAGTAATTAATATTTAGATTTTATTTTTTATCTATTTAAATGTTTTTTTTTTTTTTGCGGAATTGCAAAAACCATATATCCTAATTTATTTATAATTTATAAGAAAAATTTTAATTTTTTAAAAGAGTAAACTAATATTTTTTCCAAAAATTCCATATAAAATTCTAAAAGTGAGAAAAAAAATAATGTAATCTTTGAATGATTTAATAAATATTAAACAAAAATGTTTTATTTACAAACATACTTAATTTATAGGCGGTTATTGGTTTACTATTAAACACCGCATTAAAAAAAAAATTGAAAAAAAAAACATTTTTTATTGTTGTTATAGCATGCAAAGTAAGAAAAAATTAGCCCTACATACGCATTATATTATGCATGTGTAGGGCTGGGTTGTGAAACTAGCCAAGCAAGTGTTGTGACTTGCAGTGAGTGTAGAGCTAGGCTATTAAACTAACCAAGCAAGTTGCCAAAATGATTTCATAATAAAGTAATTTTTCTAAATCTATTTTATTTGAGATGTTTACAATATTTTTTTTTAATAATAATTTCCCACTACTATGAAGTTATGTAGTTCTTGTAACACATGTTAAATCATTATCGCTATCTGTAATAAATATTTTTAATTAATTTAATATGGTTTTCCTTACAATAGGCTGTGTATGTGTCTGTGTACAATAGGTCTTAGTCCTGTAGGTGACAGCTGTTATAACTGTTTTTGAAAAGTACGCTTATTATTTTAAATTTGTTCTGTCTTTAATGTTAATTGTTTTCTAAAAAAATTGTCAAAAGTGTTTTTTTTTGGTTTTACTAAATACTTAAAGAGACTACCAAGTCCCGAGACATGTTGTGTTCATATTAAAGAGAATGTTAAAAAAAAACGTCTGAGCAAATTTTTTTTGATTAAAACTAACTAATAAATGAATACCAAGAAAAACAAATCTTGTTGTTTTAGTCGAAGCTCGTCTTCTCCATTTTCTGCGGTATTTTGAGTATGTAAAATAAACACGATTTTCCAGGCGCATTATACAGACTTGATAATTTATTCAAGCGCATTTAATTCATAGGAGTTTTAGCGCATGACATCATAGTTTTTTTTGTTTGTTTGTTTAAAACACCAATTGTTATTTTTTACATACAATTTCCAAATTATATTTATTTTTTATTATATTTTAAAGTTCTAAAATGTGTTTGTAAAACAAAATTAAAAACAAAATAAAATTAAAAACAAAATATTTTTTGAATACTTTTCGCTAAATATTTTCTGCAATAGTAAAATGGTGAATAAAAAAAAAGCACTTGAAAAAAAAAGCTTTTACTCAGCATGAGTAATTTCTCAGATTTACATCAAATTTAACCAAAAACAGCTCAAATTTTTATTGATCTAAGTCTTTATGTGAATAAAATACATCAATAAAAATTTGAGCTCAAATTTTTATTCGCATAAAGCTGAGTAATTACTGAGTTGCTTCTTTTTATTCACCTGGCTTTTTGACTTGGATGAATGCTGAAATAAATATATGGTTGGCATACATTAACAGCTCTAAGGTAGGTAGATATATTCACTTACTTTTTTTTTTTAATTTCTAATAAATTGTAATAAAACAGAACAAAGTTTTTTTTTTGGGGTGCTCCAAGAAGTCCCTATGGTCTTATCACAGAGCACCGCGGAAGAGCATTTAATAGGAAGTTCATGCCTGCTTCCTAACTGATGTAGCACAACTAGTCCTGAGGTGGGGTTTGAATCACGGATCCTTTGTTTCTGAGGCAAATGCGCTACCACTGCACCACAACTACTCAAAGTTTTAAAGCTTTTAGTTAAAAACACACACATACACATGGAAACAAAGGTTTTGATGTTAAAAGAACCAAAAAATTTAGTTCCACTTTCATATATATCAATTTTGTTATGCTATATGCATAAAATTCTTAAGTAATTCAAAAGAAAATGTTAAATTAGATCTCTAATGAAGCTAAGATCATTACTTTCTACCATTTTCTAAAAACAAGTAAAAAATAAGTGAAAGGTATGAATCAGACCTATTATGGCCCGTTTTATGGGTTCAGACTTTCTAGTAAAACATTAAACTTGCTTTTATTAATGACATAGTTAAATATTTTTTTAAAACCTTCTTAAACTTAATTTCTGAGATAAAATATAAGAATAAACTAATTTGAGAATAATGGACCAAAGCATCAAGTACCTTTTTGCATTAAGATTTAGTTCTCATGATAGAGATGAAAAAATTATTACACTTAAAATAGCAACTGCATAAGTAGGAGAAACACATAGGGTAGAGTGAAACTAACAAGAAGGAATAAGAATGTCAATTTCTGCTTAAATCTAGGAAATAATAAAGGAAACAGAATTTCAGACCATCAGAAAGAAAATCTAAAAAAGATTGAGCATTAAGGCAGCAGTAAGAAGTGCAATGGCAAAAGTTAGAAGACGCATAAGATAAAAGTTTTAGTGAAATCATAGCTGATCTGAACCAGTGAGAACAAATAAGAACAAGGAGAAACTGAGCACAAGGATCAAAGCAAAACACAAACCAAGGAATGAAAATAAAGGATTAGAATTGCTGGAAAACAAGTCATAAAATTAACTATTTGAATAATAGATTGAGAAAAACAAAAACTTTGAACAAAACACTGAGCCAGTATGGTCAGTGGTACTAAAGTTAAGACTAAAGCCAATCAGTGTGATGAGCAAGTCCTAGAAACCAGACCTAAGAACAACTCAACTGTGTTTTAGAGCTGAAGTTCTAAATTCTCCTAGTCTTTGCATAGAAAACCAAATCCTACAAGGCAATAGGACATAAGGTAGATTGCACTGGATTAAATGCTACAGCGTAATTTTATGCGGTAGTGGTGTAGTGGTAGAGCGCTCGCTTCATAAACGAGTGGTTCCGAGTTCGATCCCCACCACGTCCCTGGTAGTACCGCGCTCAACTCGTTTCTCCGCGCAGCGGCCTTGTTCGTCAAGGTTCGTGTTTTGGAGTTATAGAGTTGAGAGAGGGTTATAGCCACAAAATAAGTAGCCTCCTCGTCTGTAGTGGCCTTCTCGGCCTTGAGGAGGTGAAGTAAAATAAAAAAAAAAAAAAAAAATTCAAACTCAGCATTTTTAAAATATAAAAAGAAAGTAGTTATTTTAAAAATTAAAAACACAACCTGTAGGACACATCATCATAATTTTTACTTCACCAAGAAAATTGTAAATTTTATTAATCAAAACCATTTGAGCTTCACCAAATGATCTAAATTCACTTTTGTCAGTTAGACAAAGTTCAGGTTCAATATCATCAAACAGTATTGCAAAGGAACTGCATCCTAACAATTGCACCTATATTAAAAACACATGGCTATAAATAAATCTAATACGAAAAAAAAAAAAATTAAAAGTTAAAAAAATTAACAGTACAATAATTTAAATTAATATTAACATCTAAAATAATAATAACATAAAACTTAAAAATTTGTAAAATGTAATAAAAAGATCGAAGAAAACATATATTTATTGCATTTTATTATAAATTACTTTTCTTTTTTTGTAAAAATAACATGGATAAATTATAACTTTGAACCTGTGTCAACTTTTCTTGTAATAATTGTACATCCACATCACTAGAAAACACTATATCTAATCCAGGAGATATAGAATATACAAACTCTACAGAATTAGCTTTAGATTCTTGGATTAATCTCAGCAGCATTGCTATAAAGAAAACATATGATATTAATCTTCCAATTTGAAAATTGAAAAATTAATAAAGACGAGTATTGAAATGAAATATAAGTTAATAATGAAGAGACTTAGGACTAAGAACATTTCCTTACAAAGCATCCAGTTTTGAATAAAGTCAGTAATAAAAAAAAAAGATTATGAAGAAACTAAAATCACAAAACCATATTTAAAATTATCAAACTTGACAACTTTAATTATTAAAAATCTAAAAATTTTGGTCTAAAAAGAAATAATATTATACTGATTTAAAAAAAACTTAAATCCAAACCTAGTGTGCCAACCCAAACCTAGTGTGCCAAAGAAGTTATAAAACAAATGCATAAGCAACCATCATAGCAACCTAGCAACCATCATAGCAACCTAGCAATCATTATAGCAACCTAGCAATTATCATAGCAACCTAGCAATCATTATAGCTAGAAATGAGAATGAGATTGAAAAGTATATATATATATATATATATATATATATATATATATATATATATATATATATATATATATATATATATATATATATATATATATATATATATATATATATATATATATATATATATATATATATATATATATATATATATATATATATATATATATATATATATATATATATAGGATTAAAAATATATATATATAGGATTAAAAAAATAGATTAAAAAAAAAACCTTTTTCAACATCAGTATATTTAACTCTCCATTCTCTTCTATGCTTGATGTCATCTTTTGGACCATATAAGTATGTATTTAGTCCCAAAACTTTCATTCTGAAAAATACAATTTGTTACAAATGTCTTTTTTTAAATGTATATAATCTATTTTTTAAAAGTAATACATTTTTATATATTTTTGAGGGATAGCAAAAAAAATTATATTTTACAAAACAGGTTTTTTATTTATGATTCTAACCGTTTACTCATGATTAGTAATTATTTTAAATTACTTTTTCAAGATTATGCAATTATACATTATATACATATATATGTATATAATGTATATATAGTCTATGTAGCAACACTCCGTTGCGAGTCAGTTTTGAAAATAAATTTTAATAAAACAAAAAGAAAAACACCACTAATTAAAAAAAACTTTATAGTTATTATTATTGCAGTTTTTTAAAAATGATAAAATTTAATGTACTTCCGCATTAATTTAATTTCTTTGACATTTTGATGACAAGAAAATGTAGCTTAATTATCAAGGTAGCAAAATTATAGTCAAAAGAGACTTTTTTTACATTAAAAGGCTCTTTTGACAACGTTATAAGGATATATATACATATATATTTTCTTTATATTAAAAGGCTCTTTCGACAATGAGATAAGCAGAGCTTGTGATGAAGCGAGCGCGATCATGCTCCGCTTGTAAAACGCGCCTGTAAACAGTATTTTCAAACATTCTAGACATGATAAACAACGCTCGTTCAGCTTATAACGAGCGTATAAAATAACGCTCGTCCAAGAGTTTGGGACAAAAGAAAAAATAAGTTATTTTTTTATTCTCATAAAATATTAAAAAAAGAATTTTTAGTAAAGATAGCACTGATATAAAATCGAAGCACTGATATAAAATATAAAAAGCACTACGTCATTCTCTTTTGCACAAACGTAATGAATAAGCAGTTTGAAGTCGTTAAAATTCACTAATTTCAATAATGGATTGTGCACGTGGAAACACAATGCAAATATAAAAATGCGCAAATAAAATAAGAATTGAAAATTAGAAAACCGTTATAAGAAAATTGAAACTGCAGAATATTTTTAATCTTGTGAGAATATCAAGTAAGATTTATTTGATTTATTGTTTGTAATATTCCACACATTATTTATAATAAAAATAAATATTAATAATAGAGTAATTTTTAAAATTAGTTTTTGCTTATAGTATAGGTTTTTTATTAACTATTATTTATTTTAACTTAAATTTAAAACGATTCTATTGTTTAGAATGTTCGCAATCAAGGACATTCCAAAAAGAAACAAAGTAATGATGTCAACATTTATAAAATGGAAAGTTGAAGAGGTAATAGGCTTTAAAACTGAAATTACCAACAGAACTACATACGTTATTGAAATTTACTGCAAAGTTTGTACAAGAAATAGAGAAGCGGTATTACAAGGTTGTAAATGTTTAATACGACAATGTGCTTTATGGTTTATCGATGGGACGAACTTTGTGTCGATCCACACAATTCAAAGACATTTTGAAACAGCTTCTCACCTTACTGCAATAAGGTGAGAGCGAGAAACCTTTAAATGAGCAATGTGTTACGTCAACTGATGGAATACAAAATACAAATAGTTTCGAAAATGTAGAAGAGGAATCACCGTTGACAACAGTTGAGGGAAAAATCTGTTATTTAACTTATAATGAATAGTTTTTAAAAAAGAAGATTTTCAAATTATTCTTGTGATATTTTTTAAGATTAAAAAATGTAATTTAAATAAGAAATTTAAAAAAAAAAAAAAAAAAAAAAAAAAAATTAATTTGAATAAAAAAAATCAAGAAATATAAAAACCATAAACCGTATATATATTAATAATTATAGTTATATATATATATATAATACATACATATATATATATATATATATATATATATATATATATATATATATATATATATATATATATATATATATATATATATATATATATATATATATATATATTAACTGTATTTTTTTTTATATGAAAATAAAATAGAATTTAATAAAAGTTCACAAATTACCTTTGAAACAAATCTAATCTTTCATTAAAAACCCATGGTGAACCATAAAAGCCTAAAAAGGTAAACTTAATTTATCACTATTCCACCAAAGTATGTTATATTATACTAAATATTATTGTATATTTATAAATTGATTACAAAAAATAGTAAAAATAAAAAAATTTACTTACTATTGCTAATAATGTGTCATGGAAAGTGTTATTGTGGGAATGGGTTAGAAAAGATTTCCAACCTTTTCTAACCCATTCTCCAATTTATGTTATAAAATCTTAGACCCCTTTACTTTAAACTTACTTTCAAAATTTACTTTCAATTTCAATATAATTTCAATTTACTTTCAAAAATTATTACTAGTTGTAACATTTTATTTATTTTATTTTTTCATAGGGATAATTTTTATTTAATGTATTTTCAAGTAGACTACTAAATAAAAATATGTTATTTTATTTATAAAATATTAAACTACTAAATAAAACTATGTTATTTTATAGACTACTAAATAAAAATATATAGACTACTATATAAAATATGCTATATATATGCTATAGACTACTAAATAAAATTATGTTATTTTATTTAGTACATATATGATACAAAAACTAACTAATGTAAACACTGCTTACCAGTAATTAATTTCTGATCATTTTTGATAGAGCACATTTATTTCTATTTTTAGTTTTAATATATGAAAACCTGGCAGAGCAAATAATGTAATATTGAAAACAATACAAGCATTTCAAGTGCAACTGATAAACACAATAAATATGAAATCCTCATTTTCAACCAGAAGTTATTTAACGACGTTAATTTAAAGAGATCCTCAGCAGTAGTATCATTTTTTAATTCTATAAATATTTCTTGTGCTTCCTCTTTCACATTTTTCACATCACAAGAAAAAGGTGATTTAATCACTTCA